TTTGCAACAGAGAGAAAATAAAGAGCAAAATCCATCCATCTCTTCCTCTGAGTTCAACCTTCATCCTTTCCCTAATTCTCTCTCGTCCAAACCATCCAATCATCCCCACCCACCAAAATTCCAGATTTCATCCGTTTCCCTTTTGTGGCCAGGCGCCCCCAAGAGAGGCTTCCCCATCGTCATAGAACGAGTCCGGGCCTTGAAGGTGAGGGGCGAGGGGAACGCGGAGGAAACGACCTTCCTTTGTTCTCAGCTGCTCGGGGGGGGGGGGGGGGGGAGCTTCCCTGGCTCGGAAGGATGAAAACTCATCCGAGGATGATCTGCTTCGCTCGGGAGACCCATCCTCCACTGCCTGAGACACTGAGGCCCATCAATAGCCAAACTGAGCCAAAGAGGAGATCCTCAGGAAGGTGCTGGGATGGAGGGAGGGAAGAAGGAAGGAAGGAAGGAGGGAGGGAGGGAAGAAGGAAGGAAGGGAGAAGAGGAGGGTGGGAGGAAGAGGAGGGAAAGAGAAGAGAAAGAGGGAGGAGGAAAGGAAGGAGAGGAGAAAGGGAGAAAGGAAAGAAGGAAGGCAGCAGGAAGGAAGGAACAAGGGAAGGAACAAGGGTCGTGGGAAGGGAGGAAAGGAGAAGGAGAGGAGGAAAAAAGGAAGGCAGTAAGGAGGAACAGAAGAAAAAGGAATAAAGGAAGGAGAGGAGGGAGGGAGAAGAGAAGAAAGGAGGAAAGAGAGCAGGAAGAAGGAACAAGAGGGGGAAAGGAAGGAAGGAAGGCAAGAAAGAAGAAAGGAATGGAGAACGGGGAGGGAGGGGGGAAGGAAGGGAGAAAGGAGAGGAGGAAGAAAAGGAGGAAAAAGGAAAGAAAGGATGGAAGGAAGGGAGGAGAGGAAGGAAAGATGAGGGAGGGGGGAAGGAAGAGAGCAGGAAGGAAAGGAGAGGAAGGAAAGAAAGAAGGACAAGAGGAAGGGAAGAGAAAAGGAGGGAGGGAAGGAAGGAAGGAGGAAGAAAGCAAGGAAAGATGAAAGGAAGAAGTGAAGGAAGAAAGAAGGAAGGAAGGAAAGAAGGGAAGGAAGAAAGAAGGGAAGGAAGGAAGGGAAGAGGGAAGGAAGGTGTCTTTTCTGTGTCTTCTCCAGCTTTTCCAAAGCTGCCATTCCTCGCCCGACCTTCTCCAGAACCTCCTTTGAGGGACCTTTCCAAAGTCCCATTTTTCGCTCCCAACCTTTTGACTTTCCTCCAAGAAAAGTTCACCCATCGTCTAATTTTAGACCTCTCCTTCCCAGCTCCCTTGTTTTTCAGGTCATACCCAAAAACACAGGACCAGGGGACCATTAATAATCAGGGAGTCTCGTTTTAGAGCGAGGAGGTCGTTAAGGGGGACGGACGCTCTTTAAAGCAAGAGCCGAGAAGGTTCAACATCAAATTCAAAAGCTCTCCGTGAAGCCACTTCAAGGATGGGAACGAATGCCGGAGCTTCTGTTATTTCCCCCCCCCCCAAAAAACCCGTTTCCAACACCCCACAATCCCATTTGCTGTTTTTTTAAAAAAAAACAAACCCTAAACCACAAATGACGGTCAAAACTCAGCGCTCAGAAGTCAGGCATAAACCCTGCACAAACCAGCTTAGGAAGAGAAGAAAAACAAATTTAATTTTAAAACAAAAGATCTCTCCTTATTTTCGTCCCTGTGCTGCACGTTTCTGCCTCCAACGACCCAAAATGAGCCGACGGGATCTTGAGGTCTAGAAACTTGACCCGAAATGCTGGTTCCTGCTTAGAAGGGGACGTCTAACGTGATGGAAACCCCCCCCCCCAACTTCAGCTTAGCCACGATGACAGCTGTCACCCTGGTTAGGCAGAACAGCAGGGCTTGTGCTGGCCTCATTAGAGTCCGTTGTCCACCTACACACACCTACACACACACACACCATAACACAAATGCACAGCCCTCTGCAGAGAGCAATAGGCACATGTGGGCAGCATTCGAACTTCAGCAGTAAGGATTTTAAAGTTTTTTTTCCTTGTTGGCATCCTGCAACAACCCCGTTAACTCGGGTCTTGTGGCCAGAGTAGGGCGGCAGAAAAAGTGGGGTAAATGCAATGTGGGGAAGGGGGGGGGGAAGAGAGTTATAACTCTCTGAGATTTTGACAGACCCCACCCCCTTCCCCTTCCCCAACTAGTCCAAGCCCCTCATCTCTATTGTTCAGCCTTTTTTTTTTCAGTGGGAAAAAAAACAAAAAACGCCATCCTCCCGTCTGTTTACAAATTCTCTCCAGCCAACCCCGCTTCGCTTGCCCGCCCGTGGGAAAAAAAACAACTCTGAACAACATACTGTCATGGGGTCTCTCTCCTGGCCTGGAAGATGGAGAGCCGAGGATGCCTGCAAAAGCCTCTTTGCCCAGCCCTGGAGAACTTCTGCCTGCCTCCACCGCAGGGATGGCCCCACTAACTTGGCCATGGCTCTCTTTGGCGGCCGCCACGTCTCGCTCTCCTTTTTTCTGGTCGCTCGTCTCGGGAATCAGCGCCAGTTTAGGATGGAACGATCCCGGGCTGCCCAGTTCTCTCTTGAGGGTGTCGCTGCCGCCACCACCGCCATTCTGCTGGTCCCTCTTCTTCTTCTCCTCCTCCGTGGGGAGGAAAGGCTCCTTCACAATGGGGCAGAGGGGGTTAGCATTGACCTGACCGGGATGATGGTGGGCAGAAGTCTGCTCTTCAGAGACGGTGGCCGATCTTTTCATCGGTGCGCTTAGTTTGCGAGGTGCGACACACTGAGAAAGGATGCTCGGTGAGGACTCCCGGTCAGGAACGGTGACCGGCTCGGGGTATTTGTCCACCAGGTTGAGGGCGGGGGGGACGGACAAGTGGGAGCACTCCGACATGGCACGCCGCATCGCCTTCCGCTGGGTGCCCCCCCGACTGAGAAAGCCGCTGTCGGGAGCAGAGTCCAGCTTCTCTTCCAGCTCCGCCAGAAACCTCTCGTCTTCTGTCTTGGGGAGAGTGCCAAACGGGCTGCTGACCTTCCCATCATCCTGAGCCAGCTCGACTGTGGTCGTTGGCGGTCCCAGCTTCGGCGCAGAGCCGAAACCACTTAGGAGCGAACCGTCCTTGAGAAGATCCACTGGGCTGTGCGGAAGGGCTCCGTTCTTCGACCCGGTGGCTTCGGACAAGACTGGGTTGAAAGTGGGGGTCCATGCCTGGATCTCTGGTTCCATCGGGCGACTCAGGGGGTCTTTTGGTGTCTCTGGACGGCCTTTGGCGTCACCCTCTCCCGACTTTGACCCAGCTGCCTTCTCCTGATCAGTGATACCTCTGTTAGGTTCCAGCACTGGAGACCCCCTCGGGCACCCAGCCGGCTCCGTCTGCAAGCCAGCCAAACCGAGGATGCCCAGACTGTCTCCGGAATGGCTCTTTTCGGACCCCTGCATCCACTTCTCAAGGTGACCTGAGGCTGGCTGGCATGGCGCCTCGGTTTCCCTTTTGTCCTTCGAGATGGTTTTGAGGTCCTTCTCTAGCTTCCCTTCGAAAAAGCACAGCTTGTCTTCATCAGTGAAGCCAGCGCTTTTCCCCAGCCCGTCCTGACGTGGCCCCGCCGGGTGGACGTGGAGCCCGATCTCACTCAGCTTACCTTCTGTCCGCTGCCACTCGAACGCAGCGGCGCCAAATTCCTTTGGCGTGCCCATGCAGGCGAATGTGTCCGTAAAACCGTCGGTGTTGGGGTTTTTGCACAGCTGGCTGTATTCAGCGAGGGGCGCAGGGGACTGGTTGGAGAGCGACATCACTGCCTGCCTGCTCGCCTGCTGCTCCTCGCCCGTCTCCGAGCTGGAACGCCACCCAGCCGGGCTGGCGGGCACCGTGATACGGTGACGACACACCAGGCCCCCCCTGTGGTCGCTTTGCAGCGAGCGATCCTTCATACTATCGCCGCTCTCGTTTGAAACGAGCATTTGAACGAAACGAGCATTTTAAAAACTAAGGTTGGGGGGGGGATCTCTCGCTAGCCGTACGGGGGGGGGGGGAAACGGTGCGTGGCAAATGGCTATTATCTTTNGGATTGTTGTTGGGGGCGAAATGCTGACTCTGTAAACCGCTTAGAGAGGGCTGAAAGCCCTATGAAGCGGTATATAAGTCTAACTGCTATTGCTAACAGGTGTCCTTAAGCTTCCATAAGTCAACTTTTTAGCTTTCGGTGGCTGCTCGGACACTGTAATCCAGCGGTGGTAGGTTTGACAAAGGGCTGAACACCTTCACTTTGCTAAAAAGGTTTTCCAGATCTAGGTTGCCCCTTTAACCAGGATCTAGACCTTGGAAAGCCTCCACTTCAGAAGATCTTCATACCGTCGGAGACACAACTAGGAATCAGATAGATACACAGGAATAGATTGGAGAATCGTTTGTCCAGGATGGTATACGGTCTCCTGCCTTGGACAAAGGGCTTGGACTTGGACTCCGAGGTCCCTTCCAGCCCCAAGACTCTATGACTCTTCCTGCAGGAGTGGAAGGGAATAAACCTTTTTCCCGTTCTTCCACACAACCTATGACATCAAAGTCCCCCCCCCACCTGGAATATCTGAATCTCCCAATGCCTCCCAGAGTTCAGAAGATGTATTTAAGGGGAGCGATGGACAATGTACGCAACATCCTCTCTCACCCAAGGGCAGGCCAATGTCGTTAACGGACCTGCCCCAAAGGTGTTGATCTCACGTGTCCGGTTTCAGAAAGCAGACCGATGGTCCTCAGGAGCCCCTCGGAAAGAGGTAGATCAAAATAAGGTATTTGGAACTGCGTGGGACACAGGTACGCATGAGGGCAACTAAGGTAGGACATCCAGTTTCGGTGGGCAACGTTAGCAGGGAGAAAGCAGTGAAGGTGTTGTAAGAGGTACCTTCCAGGGAAGAAGATCTGAGCTTCCCCAGCAACCAAGAGGGAAGCAAGGGAGGAAAATTGCAGGATGGAGAAGGAAGGGAAGATTTTCAGAGGTTCGGCTTCTACTTCTCCATAGGTACTCACCCCCTTGTTCTGGAGGCAGCTTTTCTGCAGGTGGCTCCACGGGGAGGGCAGCTATTTCCTGGACCTGGGCCAACGTGGACTCCTCAACCAAGGGCCCCGGCGAGTCCACGTGGGGCTTCTCCCCAAGGTCAGGCCCCATCGACTCTGCTGAAGGACAAAAACCAGGATGTGAGCACCACGAACCGAAGGACTTTCTCCAATGGCCAGAAGCTTGATGGCCCCGTGGTCAAACGCAGGGTGGCCTTGCCCGAAGAGATGTTCTCCAGAGGCGCTGGGAGAACCATCTCCAGAACTTCGAAGAATCCTTTCCGAGAATTTCTGTGGAGGAACTGAGGATCTCTTCAGCACTAGTCCAGTCCCAACACAACTGGAGAACATCAAGGAACACCGGGGGTTCAACGGTCCTCGATGTTACTCCACACCGTTACCTCCAACTCAAGACCTTCTGGTGCTGGGCACCAGGGCATTGGGACAACTTTGGAAGCCGAGAGAATACTCTGATGTTGCTCTTCTGATCGGTCTCCCAAATACGGCCTGGGTGGCCTTCTCGTAGAAGTTCTACAGCCCCAGTGGTGAAATCTAATTTTTTTTTTTTACTACCTGTTCTGTGGGTGTGGCTTGGTGGGTCATGTGATTGAGTGGGCGTGGCTATATAGTCACGTAACCGGGGGATCAAAAAAACAGAAGCTCACTTTAACAATGTCCTGCTGGAGCAGGGTTGGGCTAGATGACCTTCCAGGTACCTTCCAGCCCTGGATTACGCTCTGAAGCATGCTTCTAGTGCCAGGCCTGTAGTCCCCCTCCTTTTTTTGCTCCCTCCGCCCCTTTCTTTTTCTTTCTTTCCCCCTTCCTTCCTTCCTTCCTCAGCACCCTCCAACCATTTGTGGCCTAGGGGGCCTCAGGGAAGCTTCCTGGGAGCAAAAACAGACCCCAACCCACCCCTGCGTTTCCGGAGAACCTGTAGTAAAAAAAATATGCTTAGAAAGTTTTTATTAAAAAAGGTTCTGTGCGACATGCGATTGTCTGAATATGGGTTGTTGGTTTGTTTGTTTTTTGCTTTTTAAAGTATTTTTTTTACTACCAGTTCTGCGAACTAGTAGCATTTCACCCCTGTCCAGCCCCCAACTCAAAATCTGTTAAGAGCACTTAACAGGTTCAGGCTTAGAGAAGAGGAAGAAACGAGGTTGACTTTGAACCTTAAACACCCAAAGAGCCATAAAGATCCTAATCAGAAGCTCCCCATTCAATTCTGGAGCTGACCGGAAGTCTGGTCCCCCATCCCCACCCCACCCCAACCATAGAGTCTCCTCCTAGTACAGCTTCCTTTTTCCTTTGCTAACCGGAAGTCCGCTTCTCCCACCATAGAGTCTCCTCCTAGCGCGGCGTTCTTTTTCCTCTACCTGTCCTAACCGAAAGCCCTATCAACCGTGGAGCCGATCGGGGGCAAAAGGGAGCCACAGCAGACGGCTGAAAAGAGCCACATGCGGCTCCGGAGCTGCAGGTGGCTGTCCTCTGACTTAGAATGAGAGAAGGTGACAGCCCGTCACGAAGCTTCGATTTGGCGTTTCTCAGCGTTCTCCTTACCTGCAGGAGACGGGAGAAGCTCTCCGGGTTCGGTTGGCGTTGGTCGATGAAGATCTTCTGCGTTGAAGACGGGACGTGGGCTCTCTTCTTCTCGAGCGGGAAAGGGAAGTGATGGCTGGGCCTCCTCTGCTTTTTCGGTCGGAAGGTTGATGGCCGTTGGCTGTTGGCCAAGAAAACCATCCTTCTCCTTCACGGTGTGGAGGAACTGGCTCCCTTCTTCTGGTTTCTCTAGCGTGGGACAACTGTTGGTGGTGAGGACAATGATATCTTCGTCTTCTGATTTTAGTTCTTTCGACACCGGGGGCTCCACCAAGCCTGTTTTGGAGAAAGGGAGAAAGAAAAGAGTTGAAGTTGAAGCTGATCAGATGTTCTTGAGGGATCCACAGTTCTCCACTTTCCAAACCATCCATGGTCAATGATGTGCCACCACCATGGAGCCACTCCGTCCCATCCATTGGAAGTCCTCCAGAAATCTGGAACGAGGAATGGGTGGCTGCCGTCCAGGTTCAAACCAGACGAGGCACATCGTTGGAGAGAGAACAGAATCCCAGAGTTGGAAGGGACTTCAGAGGTCTTCTAGATGAGCCCCACCCCCCCACCCAAGGAGACCCTGGTATCATTTTGGACAACCAGCTGACCAGATATTGAGGAGGCCTGCTCCATCTGCAATATGCACTGGAGTTGGGAAGGTGGTAAGGAGATTACTCCACACAGCCCACTCCCTTCTACCGGTGGCACTGATGATGTTACCTAGTTGGGTCGTGAAACGTCTGCAAGAAAACAGCCAAGCTCAGAGAGCACCAAAGGCCCCATAGTCTTCTTCCTCTCTACAAGCCCCCCTCTTTTCTAGCACTGATGACATTTCCTAGCTGGGTCATGAAACGTCTGCAAAAATTAGCCAAGCTCAGAGAGCACCAAGGACCCCTGTCTTCTTCCTCCTCCTCCTTGCAAACCCCACTTCCAAGATGGGTGGGTGGGTAGGTGAGCGAATGAGTGAATAGGGCATCTTCTAAACCCTTTCCCCATTCTTTTAATTTAGTTGATTGATTGATTTATTGATCCTTGAGCCACATCAAAGTGCAGAGTTCCAGAAACAATTTATTACAATTTTTTTTTGATAAAGGCAATTTAAAATGTAATTGGATAAAACACGATTCAAAATAAAATCGGGATAAATCCCAGCCTAAATTCTTCCATCCAAGGAAGTCCATTCCTGCATCCAGCAGCAGCTGCAACAAGGGCCAAGGGAGTAGCCCAATTCTGGCTGGCTGCTCCTCACTCAGCTCACCTGCTTGAGGTCCTCCCTGAGGAAGCAAGTCTTGGTCCACCGAGGGTTCAAATCCCATCAGCAGGTCCGTGGTAGGAGGGGCAGCATCCTCAAAGGCAGGAGGAACTTCAGAAGAAACAGGCAAAAATAGATTTACAACACCACAAAATATTGCAATACAATACAAATACAATAGCAGAGTCAGAAGGGACCTTGGAGGTCTTCTAGTCCAACCCCCTGCCTAGGCAGGAAACCCTATACCNGAATACAGGAAGGTCACTGAAGAACAGAACCCACCAAGAATCATGTCTCCAAATGTTTACACTGCAGGCAACGTCTACTTAGACTGGATCATTTTGGGAAGGGAGGGGTTTAAGCTTCGCTGATCCCTGCCTAGATCACACGTCAAGGATCAGATTTTCTGAAGAGTTCTTACATCTACCTCAACCATCATCATCTTCACTGTCCTCACCACTCTGTGTTCAGCCTTCCTGTCCGGAGCTGTAATGCTTCCCAACCACTCATCATCTCTTTTTAACGACCCCATAATCCCTTGTGGGGGTGGAGTCTGGGCAATGGAGCTAGTGGAGTGTTTTAATGGCCGGATGCCATTCCTGTTGCCAATGCAGAATTCTGTTCAGCAGATATATTCCCAGTGTGGTCAGAGAGAAAAATATCTGCCTCTACTTAGGATTGAACTCACAGCCTCCTGATTGTGAGGCGAGAGTGCCACTCTAGGCCACCACCCCACTCCATCACATCTACCTCAATGAATAAGATAATATAACCTTTTTTGACATTTTATTGGCTCCGAGGAGCGCACTGGCCCCAGTAAAATGCAATTTGTTACCTGCTCTCCCAAAAATGTATACATCTACACATACACATACATAACTCCTATACACGTACTAGACACATATTATACATATTACATCTGTCCATTTTGGATACGTAGAGGAAAGAGGAAACTTGAGAGTTCGCCAGGTTGATGTTATATGAAACAAAACTGGGATTGAATCTGGATGTTCGGCTTCGGATCCACGAAGACCCCCTCCCAGAAGGTAACAAGGAAAACTGGTTGTGGAAAGGATGTGTGGAGTCCCAGACAATCCTGCTAAAGCATCGCTTATATGTCTTGGACAGAAGGAAGTAAACAACCTAATAATCTTTTCCACTGTCCTCACCACTCTGTGTTCAGCCTTCCTGTCCGGAGCTGTAATGCTTCCCAACCACTCATCACCCCCTTTTAACGACCCCATAATCCCTTGCGGGATGGAGTCTGGGCAATTGAAATGGAGCTGAGTTTTTACTGGCCAGATGCCCTTCCTGTCACCAATGCGGAATTATATTCAGCAGATTTATTCTCAACGTGCCCAAAGAGAGGAATAGCTGTCTCTACCTAGGATTGAATTCACAGTCTCCTGATTGTGAGGTGAGAACTCCACCTCCAGAGCACCACACTCAATGCTTCCCAAACACTGTCCTCACCACTCTCTCTATAGCAGGAGTGTCAAACTCGATTTCATTGAGGGCTGCATCAGGGTTTTGTTTGAGCTTGGGGTGGCTGAGTGTGGCTCTCCAAATGAAAACCAGAGCCCGGATGGACTGTATGCCCCCACCCGGTCGGCCATGCCTCCCCTTCCTACCACCACAGTCCTGATGCAGCTCTCAATGAAATTGAGTTTGACGGCCCTGCTCCATAGAAAGTGGCAAGGAAAGGGATAAACAGATCTAACAGAATGAACAGAGGTGAGCCGAGGTGGCGCAGTGGGTAGAGTGCAGTACTGCAGGCCACTTCAGCTGACTGTTAGTTCAGCAATTCAGCGGTTCAAATCTCACCGGCTCAGGGTTGACTCAGCCTTCCATCCTTCCGAGGTGGGTAAAATGAGGACCNAGGAAGGTCAACCCTTTGACCAGGTCCAACTGGAGAACTTTTGGTGTTTTCACTCAAGGTGACGGAGGGTGGACTTGGTTGCTTCACACCGTCTGTAGCACTGTCCAACTGCTGGCTTGTAGCTAAGACGTTAATCCCTTCTTTCGGTTCATCTGCTCTCTGTTGGGTTTGGTCAAACATCTCATGATCTCCTACGGGAGAGAAAAATGGTTGTCTGAAGGAGCTTCTCTCCTCAGCTCTTCTGCTCTTCCCCATGCTAGATCTCTTCTTCGGCTTCTCTCTCACTCCTGGAGAGGTGGGAAAATTTCGTTCTGGGTTCCTGGTTATCCAACCAATTTCACCCAGGCCCTCAATGTCTACCGCTGTTGAAGCTTTGCTCAAGCCAATGTTCTCCCCTGGCTCTGGGACATGTTTTGCTTTCTTGCTTTTCCCATCACTGCCTCTCTTCTTGGGCTGGTCGTGTCTCAACTTGAGACCGGTTGGATGCTCTGGAGGGTGGACGCCAAGAAGGTCTTCCGTTGGGTTGGTGAAAAACACTGGGCCACCACCAAGGGTCTCAGCAGCAAACAAGGGTTGGGCAGGATCTGACTCGGTTTCCACCACAAATGGAGTTTTGGCAGAATTAAAATCAGATCTTTGGCTCTGTGGCCTTTCTTTGGGGGCCTCTGAGACGTCCGTGCCTTCTTCTCTGTCTTGATGAAGAGAAGAAGACCCTTCTTGGGTTGGCCCTGCTAGTTTTGGTTCAGCTGGTAGAGTCACATCTTCCTTGTCCTTCTTTAAGACCTTCTCGAGTTTCTTGGGTGCCTCCACCAACTCTTCGTTCCTTTCAAGACAAGGAAACTCTGGGTCAACCTTCTTGCAGGCAACCATGGGGTCCAGAGCATGGACCTCAACTTTCTGCCCTATGGTAGAGTGGGTCTCCGAAGCTGAGGCGTCAACGTTTGAGTTCTTCAGAGTCGGAGGCCCCAACTGTGCCCTTTTCTCAAAGGGACCTACTTCTTCAGGACCAGGAGGAGGAGAAGTTGGACTTGACGTCTTCTTCTGTTCAAGGTGGTGCTTCGGAAGCTCGTCAGGAAGTTCTTTCGTTGGACTTTTAGGCTGCCACGCCGAGCTGCCGTCCAAGGCCAATTTGGCTGGGCTCAATTCTCCTGGTCTGGGGTCCAATGAAAGTTTGGGAAGTTCTTCAATCTTCACAGGAGGAAGGNCCCAGAATCCCACAGTCAGTAAGTTTTAAGCTACATGGACTTCATCACCCAGAATCCCCCAGACAGTAAGTTTTAAGCTACATGGACTTCGATTCCCAGAATCCCACTGTCAATAAGTTTTAAGATACAAGGACTTCGATTCCCAGAATCCCAGTGAGCAGGGTATTATGGTTGTGGAAGTCCAGACGTCCAAATTGTGTTACCTAGACATTGTGTGTATTGTGACCGAGGGCCCCAGACATCTCCGCTTCCTCACCAGATCCAAACTGGGAGCTGGAACCAGTGGAACCAGTATAACCCAACCTCCCAACGCCCTCATCATCTTTTCATCTGAATGTGCTCAACAACAGATAGTCCTCGACTTACAACGGTCCACTTAGTGACTATTCGCAGTGGCACTGGCACAGAGAAAAAGGACTGAGGTCCATTTTTGACACTTACGACCAGCTGCAGACTCCCTGTGGGTCACAGGATCGAAATTCTCATGTTTATGACCGTCGCAGTGATCCCCTTTTGTGACCATCAGAGCAGCCGAGTCAACTGGAGGGGGGGGGGAGCCGGATTCGCTTTACAACTGTGGTGACTCACTGAACGACCATAGGGATCCCCTTAACAATGGGGGCAATTGAGTTCGTCCAATGGGGCTCATGAATGTCTCGCTTAGCAAGAGATTGTGGTCGTAAGTAGAGGACCGTCTGCACAACGGTCCTCTACTTGTAAGGGTAAGGGAACGTTTTTGACACCTTTACGTTAAATATTTTTGTTGTTGTTATTACTTTTGACACCTTACTTCCCCGTGCATAGAAAACTCAAACTCACATCTCCAAAGAGCAATTACGTGCAGAAAACACAACTTGCTCCCCTCCACCCCCCCCAAAAAAATAGTGACAACTTCGGGGTTGCGACCAATGTCAAAGATGTGACAGGATTCCCACAAGTTTCTTCCATGCAAGCTAATGTTAAAGAGGTGTTGTTGAATGGTCTACACAAACACACACACACACAAATGCATGTCTCACTTAGTGACACACAAGCTCAGATCTAAGTCTTACTGCAAAATGGCACCTCAACCGTACCTCGTTCAACGTGAACAGGAGTCCCCTGGGGTTGAAAAAGGAGGGGAGGCGGTCCAAACCGGGCCACGTGGCCACCTTCAAACATCTCCAGATGAACGGAGAAAGGCCACCATGAAGGAGAAACTCGTAGACTGGTGAGATTATGGACCTCTGGCTCCAAAAAATGTTTGGATTCCAGAGGAAACCACAACCCACTTCAAGGTTGGACCATGGAATTGTCCTCTACTCTGATTTACTACCATGACTCAAGGATCTCCTACCATGGATGGTATGAGATGTTCCTCAGAATCTATTTGGGGTTTTCTGTTGGAAGCATCTACCCTAAAGGACAGGATGAAGGCAGATTTGAAGTTATGTGGCCAACAGTCAACAGTGGAACCAAGTAACACAAGAGTGTGTGACCTTCTAGACTCCAACTGAGCAGGAAGGCATCTACTGCCTGAGCAGGTTCCTTAGCTAGAGGGAGGTGGCCCAAAGCCTCCGCAGAACCTTCCAACTCCACAGGTTCCTTCCCTTGAGGAGCGCTCAAGATTAGTGACCACAAAACACACACACACACACACAAGGGCTCAGAAGCACACACAAGACAGAAGCTTTAGGGTCTCGGCTCAGTTCCAGAACGGGGCGCGTTAGAAACGGTGACGCAAAGCAAGCTAGGTTCTCAAAGATAGCCCGGTCATGCCAACGAGGTTAGGTGTTCGTGCCAACGCAACCAACATGGAGCACGTTCTCACACGCCAAGCTGGATGGAGGATGCACAAACAGGCTGGCAGGCCATAACCACAAGCACGTACACACACCTTTGTCTCGCCTGTGGAGAAGAGGGCCTTCGGGCTTGGGAGGTCTTCTCCTGCCTTGGTCTGGAGCTCCATTCTTCAGGGAAGGGAGAGACGATGGAGGAGGGAACCCTCTTGACTTGGTGGGTCTCATGTAGCCTTTCATCGGTGGAGG